ATTGAAGCATTTATTATTGTATTTAAATACATGAACTCATGCGTTATAATTGCATTTTTCAGTGAATTGCATCCATCGTAGATATCCATCTCCAATCCATTCTCAACAATCCTCTGAAAGTTCAGACCTTCAAGTAGTCCAGAACCCGGAGAGCCAAACTATAACAGAGAGAAGCTGTAAAATACTAAACTCCACTTTAACACTAAATTTACGAAACATAATTCTTTGTTCTTGAAACTCCAATTTCCATGAGCTACATGAACAACCATGTACTCTTCTAGAAGCGATAGACTAAAATGCGTATAACGAATGTCCGTAAATCTAGTGTTAAGTTATCGTTAAAGTTCAACGATCATGTGAAACGTACCCTCTGTTCTAGGTGACTGAATGATAGTTATATTCTCATCCCCCCCGCCGAGTTTCCCGATCGTCGAGTTGTTGTAGTAACCGAAGATATTTCTGTTCGCCTGAGCGATGCAGTAGAACTCTTCCAGGTCGGTCGTTCTCGTCAACTTGGCCTCTGATTCTTTCTCGTAGGGTGACACCAGTATCAGACGCCTTTTTGACGAGGCTCGTACTGAAACTGGAACAATTCTTTCACGGTACTTATCACAAACGAATCAATCCGACATTCCCTCCATTCGAATCGCCGTGTATTCCGTTTTGTTTCAGTCACACGTATGACGGCACACAATTGTTTCTTTACTATCCAGAAGAACGTTGTTACATTAAAAAATCGGGGAACACATTGAACGCATCGTGCACGGAGAAAGAGTACGTAGGATCATTTGAAAAGTCAGCGAATGAAAGATCACCAAATGGACATTAAAATGTAATCTTCAACGGTATGACTCGAAGCATACCCCGTGCTAGAACGGACGTATTAGCGTCGTGGTACTTACCACTTTTGTTGATCTTGTCACCTGATGCACCCTTAGATGTGTTTTTCGATCCGTAAAAGATTTTTTGGGACAGCGTGGACAGGCTGTTCGAAAGGATGGTCGACTGAGGATTTTTATCGATCAAGGCGCAACCGTGCGAATCTAGCCTGTCTTTATTCTTAGCTTGTGCGAGATTAGCTTGCCTATGCAGGACAGGAACTAGGAACAGTAACACGTATACAATAATTAAGACTATGAGTTGATTTCTTTGCTGATTACGCGGCCAAAATTTCTATCGTTCATTGAAGCGGAAAGGGACGTCTTGACGAAGAAAGGATGCTTGTTCTCAATGATTTGATTTTGGACGTTGTGGAGCAAGCAGCGAGATAACGTAAGTTTAGTCAGAATATAATTGGTCCTTAATGAGCAGAACAACTTGTGTTGTCCATTTTGTTCGCTTTCTAGTCATTAAAGTATCGGGAAGTGATTCTTTTAACGTGTTTTGCTTTTAATACAACAGAACACTGGATTTTAGTGTCACGACAGAACTCTACGTTAAGATTCTTTGAAAGATGCATGACTCGCGTGTCAGCCACAGAATCGACTATAAAAATGGTAACCTTTCTCTCCGTTCTCGTTCGCATTCACTGAACTACACTTTCTGAAATCGGGACACTGTTTCCCGTCCAGGCAGTTCGTTCGATCGTCGGTGAATCCTGAAGTACCTGCTCCGATCCGTTCATCGTCCTGCGAAACCGAATCGTCCCCCGGCCCATTCCCGCAGTGTCTGTATTGTTCCATCGCTTGACGCTCCAGTTCCTACGATCAAATCGCCCCTTTGTTCGTTACGATAAACCCGGTGACGTACCTTCTGCAAGCTAGGATCGTTAAGACAAGAGGCTCTTAATTACTTGATACTTGAGCGCCAACGACTCCTCCGAGGCTCTGTACTGTTCCATAGCTTGTTGCTCCAATTCGTCGTACCTGGTGACGAAAATGTATCAGTCATTAAGTTACCAAGTCTCCGAAATGTCTTCTAAATATTACATTAGCAAGTCTCTAAAATGTCCTCCAAAAGTCAAGTTACCAAGTCTCTAAAATGTCCTCCAAAAGTGAAGTCAACAAGTCTCTAAAATGTCCTCCAAAAGTCAAGTTACTAAGTCTCTAAAATGTCATCTAAAAGTGAAGTCAACAAGTCTCTAAAATGTCCCCCAAAAGTGAAGTTACCAAGTCTTTAAAAAATCTTCCAAAAGTCAAGTTACCAAGTCTTCAAAAAATCTTTCAAAAGTGAAGTGAACGAGTCTCCAAAATGTCCTCCAAAAGTGAAGTCAACAAGTCTCTAAAATGTCCTCCAAAAGTCAAGTTACCAAGTCTCCAAAAAATTTTCCAAAAATAAAGCGAACGAGTCTCCAAGATATCTTGTTCACATTTGACATTCACTGTCTAACCGACGCCTGCAATGTTTCAGTGATCATTCCCCGAGCACGGACTGTACCTCTTTTCGAAGACGTTCTCCAACATAGCCTGGTTTGCAGCGGTGTTCGCCAGGACATCCCTGTAGAGTCTCCTTCTGTTCCGGTTCTCGTTCTTCTCCCTCTCGCCGCTCGGTTTCGCGGTTGTCCTGTGAACAGAGGAGCCAGCTTCCGGCCTGGACCGATCGACGTTCCTCGAGTTATCCTTCTCCCGTCTGGTGGCCGATTTCCTGTCGGTTTTATGTTCGAAACGCCGCAGCTCGGACACCAAACTGTTCCCAGCGGCGTACTCTTTCGCCCTGGCCGGACAGCTCTTGTCCAGCCATTGGAGCACCTCCGACTCCGATTTCGCGGCCCGATTCCTCGTTTCCAGCACGTAAGAGCTCGGCGGTTTCAGGTGCGCCGGCTTGGACAGGCTGCGATGAGCCTTCATCGCGTTCTTCGTCAGGAGGATCAGATTCTTGAAGTCGACGCCTTGGTTCTTCCGCTTCTGGCCAGCCTCGTGGTACAATTCGATCGGGTGTTGGTATACCGGTATTGGTATCGGACTCGATTGCAGAAACTTCTCCTGCATCTGCAGGGGATGATGAGTGATCGTTGCACGGAGGGGCTGCACGCTGGTGCACATTGGCGCCGCGCAGGACGACGTCGCTATTTGGATCTGCGCGGCGGCTGGAATCCTTTGGTACCATTGCTGCGGCGGCCGAACGTACGCTGCCGCCTCGGTGGCCGGATGCAGCGGTATTCCCGTGGTCTAAAATTCGTAGCAGATTTCATGTTACTTAGTTTACTCTAAATCGATCAACGATGTCGACCTCGCGTCGGTTGATCGCTTCGCTCATTGGCCAGATCGGTTAACTCTCTGGATTTCCTAAGATTTCTGAGAACGCTTGATTGGCTAACTTACGTTTAAAATACCATTCGATTTGATACCACGAAATAAAAATTCTCCTGGCCATTAACCCTTTGCACTCGGGAGGTGACTCTGTCATTGATTCCCTACAGTGAAGCTATAAAGTTTGATACTTAATATTACACTTCATATAATGCATCGATCTGAGAAATATTCACGTAAAATTGCTTTGTCCGTCGATTCACGTGAATTTCTCGTCGAGTTGGTTGTACAAAATATCGTCTTCGTCTCATCAGAAAATGTTGAAATATTTCTAGTGAAAAACTTCGGAGTGCAAAGGGTTAAACAACAGCAATAAAGCCTTCAAGGATATTCCACACTATCCTCACACTGCTTCATAAATTTTACATTAGATTAAAGCTGCATTCAAATAAAATACACGATCATTTGATGCTCCATTTAAAAGAGAGCTTTAAAAGTCAACGCTGCATTACTTCTCTCTTTCGCGAAGTTAACCGATTTGTCCAATGGCGCAATTCCAAAACCTGGTAGAGGGTCCCAGCGTGCTCTTGAGCTCTGTTGTAAGGGAACAGTTCGTTCTGGTAGCTCCTCTCGTTCAGCGAGGGGAAATACTGCAGCCGACTGTTGCCGTGCTCCTTGTTCAGCCGGGTCACAGGGATCTTCGGGAAGAATTCCGGGACTTCCGGGCTGAGCATCGGTGGCAGCTGTTTCCTCGGCATCCCGTACATCTCCGTTCTAGCGGCCTGGTACTCCGTTCTGAGTATCAGCGGCCGATACTGGAGCGCATAGTAGAATTGCTGTTTCTCCTGGGAACTTTGTTCTCGACTGACCGCGGCCGGTTGCGGGTGATGATTGCTCGGCAAACGTGACCTTTGAACGAACTGTTCCCGGCCACCCAGTTTCCACAAACCGCGGACCGCCTCGCTGCTCACGCGGCTGTGCAGTTGCATCTCCATCGAGTTCTCGACGGCGTATCGTCGGTGTCCGCACCATTCGTCGGATTTGTCCCTGGTGTCTGTATCTTGGAGGATATCGTTAACACGTTAAGCGCCGCGAGAATCTTAAGCGTTCTCCCATAGAGTTTGTCTTTCGTAGCAAAGAAAAGTAGGAAGTCGAGAGGTCCAGAGCTTTCAGTACGGCCGCCATTTTCCCGTCGTTTCTCTTTCAGTAAAGTCGAGCTCGTAGCTACAGACATCGCGAAAGATAGGGAACGAGAAAGGAAACTTCGATAAAGTAAGCGAAAGTATGTCTCGTTGGGTTCGTCGGAGTTCAGATGAACGTTACTTGTCGAGGACATCGTCGCCTCTGATGATTCTTCCTTAATTAGAAAATCAAACGTTACCGATCAGATTGACCTCTTTAGCCAAGTGAGATTCGTTTCTAGCTTCATAGCTTGTCCCGATCGTCGACGAATCTTCAGGTTCCGGTGCCCTTGTCGTCGAGCTTCTGAAAGATCAAGGTGAAAGGTGAGAGAACAATCTTCAGCATTTCAACTGACGAGCAGAATGTAATCTGTAGATGAATCTACTACAGGCTTTAATTAATATTCGCGTCGCAATTTTAGAAGCTAACAATTCACGCCTCGTTTCAGGTACGTTCGAAGTTAACCAGGCGAAGAGCTCCTCCACTTCCGGCAGCATCCAGGGCTCAGCGACGTCCGTCCAAACGAAACTCGCCGGCGGAACGGTCGCAGCATTGTCGTTCGATTTGTAAACGCTTTCCCTGTCTTCGTTGTACTCGTGATTGCCATAACGAGCTAACCGAGATTCAGGGATCACGTCGCGAACGGTTCTTCGTCGATGGCCCCCGTTGTCCTTGTACTTTTCCGTTACCTTGCAATACTGCCAGAAAGTTCTGTTTCAAATCTTGCAACAAAGAGACTGCGAAAGTTTATGCTTCACAGAGGAAATTCAACGAAATTTTCTTTTCTATTGTACCAAATGAAATTGATTAGAGGATATTAGGGTTATTTCTTTTTTTGTACATTGCATAATATTCCGTAGTCTTGCAACGAGAAATGAAGTGGATGTTTCACCTGATACCACAACGATTGGTTCAACTTTTTGAATGGATCCTCTTTGTCGAAGGTCCAAGCTTTGTCCGCGATTAGGCTAACGTTCGCATGCGCGCTATTCAAGAGCTGCTCTTCGTCGTATGACGGGAATGAAGATATCATTATCTGGACATGCTAACCGATCAAAATGCGTTTTAGTAGTCGATCGAATCGAACCCGAATCGCCTCGCGCGTCGGAACTGCGGTCAGCTATGGACTAAACACGTTTCGCGTCGACAGGCGCGTTTGAATTGACGGCTCGACCGTTACTTATGACGAAATATTGAATCGATAGAGGAATTGATGCGCGTTCAGGGCGCAGCTCGTTTTTCCGACGGATTCTCATGCGTGTTATCCGTTCGGTTGAAATTCTGTTACTTCGATTATTGTTCATTCGAATTCTGCACGATCATTCGTATGCTGTCTGTATCATTTTCATGACGGACTTGCTCCTTGCGTGAAGGTAACCGCATTAACAAGAAACCAGAAACTGTTCACGAATCATTTGCAATAGAAATCATATCTAGTATTTTCAGTACTAAATTTTCAAACTTTTTCGGAAGCGTCAGACATTTTTCTCCGCGAAGCAACAGTATTTTTTCAAAATTGTACTGGTCATTTTAGTTCATGTTGTCCTGGAGCTAACGTAGAGTCAAATAATTCATTGCGAAGAACGGGTATTTATTTTAGACTCCCTGTTCAATGTAAAAGTTTGTTTCCTTATTATAAGATTCATTTTGTGAAATGTTTTCTGGAATTGTTGGAAGGTTGCGTACTCGGTGGATGCGTTAGGAGATCAAGGGGAGCCGCAGGCTGCGTGAATTATTTTTTTAAAAATGTCTTATTTATTACAAATACGTTGATAAAGTGGTACATACATACACGCGGTGTCATTCACACATTTTGTACAGGTCAGGCGTACGAGTATTTACAAAGGGGAAGAACGTTTCGCGTAGTTTACAAAGTATTCCGACGATCCACGGTTGGAGAGGCTGATGGCCCGCGGTAACGCTTCGAAGCGCGAATGAAATCAGTCTGGTAGTTACGTCTCGCCCGGCGTTCCCGGTCTCTTATCTCGTCGCGCTCCGCGAAAAGGGGGAAGATAAAAGCGGAGAGGCTGACAACGGATTCCGGTGACTTCGCGGGAACGCCGGGTCGAGGCTTGTTTGCCACGCTACCGCGAGGAACGCGAGGGACGCCATTCTGTTCGTTCATTATCGCGCGACTGTATCGAGATCGTCTGGCACGGCGCGTCGAAATCTTTTATGTACACGAGTCGTCGAGTTTAACGCCAGGTTTACGGACATCTATTCTACGCTTTGTTCTACTGTCCCCAAAGAAAACTGCTGTTCTTCCACATTCTAGGAAATTAATGGTTTGCACATAGACAAGTAGGATAAACGTGATTATCAATGAGAATCGACATTGAAACAATGTTCAGAAAATTCGATAGGCGTCCGATCGAGGCGTCCCGTAAACCCAGCGTTGAAAACCTATTTTCAATCCTCGGACGGCGGTGCCCGGTTTCATTCTCTTCCTGTTCTGCCGCTCGCGTTTCACGCGAATTCCGATTGTGCGATCTCAGGGACACCCCGAGGAAACACTCTGAAGAACTGACGAGTCGGTCGAACGAAGCTAGGCATCGACGTTTCCGCGGAAAGTTGGCCGCCATCCGAGGACGAATGTTCGGGCAGCTCGATACAGTCGCGCGATGTCTTCGTCGGCCAAGAATTCGCGCGGGAATCGATGGCCGACGGGGAAGTTGTCGCGACGAGTCCGCGTGAGACCGATCGGTAGTCCGTCCGTGAAGTACCTCTAGCATTTGATCAGAAGAACCGCGGTTTATTTACAAATTCACATATCGACGGGAATGGAAGGAATCGATCGCCTCGAGGGTCCTATTGTTATGGCAAGACACGGGTCCTCGGTTCTGCGGGTCGATCGCGAGCCATCGACGAACCAGGGACACGTAACGATTCGCTTACAGATCTAGAACAACGTCCATCGTTCGCGTTATCCGTGATTAAAACGTATTCCACTGTCCGACTTCGATCGTTCCTTTGTTTTTTGGTCGTTGCACTTCTGCTCCCGCTGAGCACTCGATTCTTCAGTTTAAAGCACAGCTCCTAAGTTCCGTCAAGGTTCCACTTAACTGCAACACTGAACGCTTCGTGTCCTTAACACGTTGAGTAGCTCGAGAAGTCTCCTTAACGCGTGGACTGTTTCGACTTGACGTCTATCTTAAATCGTCAGTTGGAAAACGCTAGAGTCTATCTAGAAGATAAGAATCCGTATCGAAGCATCATCTATCAAGTCAAAAGAGTCCAAGAGTTAACACTCCAGTAGCTCGTAATACAACAGTATTTAAAATATCTATTTGTTTCTAGGTTCGGGAAAGCCGCAGCTCTCTAGGCCGGTCAGCGTGTCAACGACCATGAGACTGTTCACCATAGAATTCGATCCGAGAACTATTCAAACGTATTCTTCGGACGGTTTGGGTATGTTCGCCGGCAGCCGCAGAGTGCTGGGCACGCGGTTGGCACTGTCGGGCAGCTCAGCGATGTCGATGAACACGCCGACGAGGCTGTCGAAGTTCAGGCCCCAGTTGAGCAGGTAGTCCCAGCTGAGGGCGGTAGTGGTGGTCGACGGGGACCCGTTGCTGGCGGGTCTGTAGAGTCCGCCCATGTGCGTGGAGAGGTCATCATCAGAGGCGACCAGGGTACTCAACGAGCCCCGGAAGGAGCTGTCGAATCCGTCGTAGTTGACGTTGGGCGGTAACGGCGGCTTGCTGGTCTGCGAGGACTCGTTGCTCCTCTGGTTCACCTCCTCGTCGTCCTGCTTCGCGAACGGGTTGTCGGACCGCTTGTCGCCGACCAGCGAGGTGTTGTCGTACTCGGAGCAGGTGAAGCTGTCGTTCCCGCTCTCGTCGGTCGTCGAGGAGTTCCTCCGCTCGAGCCTCTCGACCGGCGGCGTGTGGCGCCTGTGCAGATGCAGCGGCCCGTGAGTGGGGGGTCCCCTGGCCTCGCTGGACGAGCTGACGGCGTCCAGAGTGGACACGAGGCTGGAGGTCCTCGGTCTGGAGTTCAGTCTCTCTATCTCTTCAGCGGTGAGGCCCATCGGCCCCGAGGACACGTTGTTCACCGAGTTCTCGTTGTTCGACTGCGGCGCCTTCCGGCTGGCCGTGGACCCGGACAACTGGCTCATGATCGGCGAGTTCAAGCTCCGCTCGCTGTTGGAGTTCAGCGCGTCCTTGCCGACGCCGCCGGAGGAGGACGTGGTCGCCAGCAGGGCGCTCTGCAGAGGCTTCCCACTGATGTCGTGCAGCGTCAGTATCCTCGGCTGCTGGGCGGACAGCTCGCTGCTGGGCGACAGTCTCGCTAGCGGCGTGCTCTGCAGCAGCTTCTGCGTGGGTCCCGGGGGTTGACTCACGTTGGGCGGGGGCAGGGCTCTGGGCGGGAACGGGCCGGCGTGTCTGTGTTGCTGGCCGGTGTGCTTGTGATGGTTGGCGTAGTTGCTGATGGGTGGCGGCGTCGCTTTGTACTTGCGCATGCCGTCCCGGTAGCCTTTGTAGTGGTAGACGATGTCGATGTCGCTGGGCGCGATGGAGCTCGCGTTCTCCAGGTCGTAGTGCTCCGGCATGTCCGGCTCCGGGTTGTGCTCGTGAGAGTGTAGAGATGTCTGAGCCGGCGGAGGCAGCGGGGGATGCTCGTCGCGGATTGGCGGCGACTTGGTCACCTCCCTCTCGATGATGTCCGGTCGCTGGGGCCGGTGCTCCGTGGCCGCGTTCATCTCCCGCTCCTTGTACTTTTTCGAGATCAGCTCGGGGCCCATGTGGCCCACGCCTCGTAGGTCAGACGTGTCCGAGATGTAGGTGTTCTCGTGGCGCGACATCAGGTTGTCGTTCCCGGCGCCGACCAACGGGTTGCCGGTCATGATGGCGTTCGTGTTCTTGTTGACCACTGAGGACGCGCCCTTCTCCTTGTTCTGCCGGCGCAGGCGGAACACGATGAAGCTGACCAGGATCGCGATCAGCAGGATCACGAAGAACACGATCACCAGCGTGATGCCGATGCTCAAGGGGTCCGCGGTCGCCACCGCGCTGATGCCGATCGGCCCTCTGCACCCTGTGATCACCTTGCCGTGGTAGAGGGCGTCCTTGAAGATCGAGCCGGTCCCGTTGAACGGCTGGATCTCGCTGTTCACGGTGAAGTTCGCCAAGCAGCCCTCGAAGCTTCTCGCGCCAGCGCTCTGCGAGTGGTACAGGTCTTGGCTGACCCCGCCGATCGACAGGACGGACAGGTACGGGTCGAGGAAGTCGTGGACACCGGCCGAGTCCAGCTCTTCGCCGGTCTGCACGCCGTCGATGAACAACCTCAGTCCGCGGAAGTACGAGTGCAGCGTGAGGTTGTGCCAGCGGCCGTCCGCCAGGCCGCCCTCGATGCTGGCGGACATGTTCACGGGGGATCCCAGCAGCGACGAGTAGAATAGCTGCCCGTTTCGGAGCTGTAAGAAATTTCATTTAGATTTCGTGTCGTTCGTTGCGCTGTCTTCTTTTTGTAGATTCGACGAGGTCTCCTACCTCCACGGATGTGAAGTGCTTGTTCGTCGCGGCGTACACGAGCACACCGTCCGGCTTCACTGTCCTGAACATCAGCCCGATGGTCTTGAAGGGCGAGGAGTTGCCGATGAAGCTCGCGTCCTCCGCGATGGACCGTGTCGCTCGGTTCTTGTGCCACACGGTCGACCCGCCGTACAGATACTCCAGCAACTGCATCCTCCTGTGCTTCTCCGAGACCTGGTCAAGAAGATCAATTAGATTTTACGTCTTTCATCGCGAGATCAACACGTTCGCTACCAGCGCTTATTACGGTGACGATCTCAATTATATTTTCTTCGATTCAATGGATCTTCTAAAGAAAATTTTAGGAAATGAAACTGAAACGAGCCATTGAGTTTCTAAATATAAAGTAGTTTATAATTTCTAATAACAATATCTATAGGATTCATCTCATTTTCCTTAAAATATAGGACTACGACTGTCACAAATTGACACTGGTAGCGAAGCGAGACAACTTCTTACTGGTTTTAATATTCTATTACTATTCGATTATCCGTCACGGTTGACCGTTTCGAAGAACAGAAAACCGTTACTGATATTTGCTCGTACCTTGAACTCAACGAATCCACCGTCGCTCAAGGTGATGGGCTCGAGGGCAGCTTCGCAATTTGGAGCGGTGACCGAGCCGCACTGGCAGGTGACTTGGTGCCATTTGTCGTAACACTTGGCGTTAGCTCCGCAGACCGAGACAGAGTCTTTCGACTCCCTGAAGCAAGGGTTCTTGTTCGAACGGATGCAAGTGGACTTGACGCCTCGTGACGCCAGAGGACTCGACAGGTTCAAGGCTCTTCCGTTTATGGAGACCGAGTGCATGCATCCGACAAAATCGTCCGAGTGCACTTGGCCTGGTCTTTCAAGGACTGGGTCCGCATTCTCCAGTCCACCGATCAGCAGAGGGTTGTTGTTAAAATTCAATGTGCTGTGGTAAGAAAGATTTATTATTTCCAGTCTGCTAAATGAATTATGAGATTTGTTAACGGAACTTTTGCAGGGAACCTATGTCGACGTCATGATGCTAGACGAAGCTATCTCAACGCTGTCACTACCGAGTACAGTTAACTATTTTAAATTTGTAGAAACTGTCAGAGTACATCTACTGGGATTTCGGTTAACATATAATTCACTTTACTAAATCAATTTCTTCGATACTTTCTCAGAGAAGCATTTATCTTTTTAATAATCGTAAGAGAATTCATTTTTATCTATCCGGTAGTTTCAGCGTTAAGCTATAAAAATGGTACCAACCCTGTAGGTCCAACGTCGTCCGCGTAACAAGTGCCATCGCCGGGTCTACAGTCGTCGCAGATGTCACCGTGTTCCCTGCACAAAGAGACGCTCAGAGAGACGACCCGCCCGTTCCTGGTCGCCGTCACTTTCCTCCAATCTCCATCGGACAGCGACTGTTCCGTCTTTATCGTGATCGAAGTGATGGCACTCCTCGCGCCGCCGTAGGAGAACACCACCCTGCCGTTCACCAGCTCCAACACCACGAAGTCCGATCGTCCTCCGGTTTGCGGAGCGTAGTTGTACAGAAGCAGAGCGTCCGGCTTCGTCGTCGCGAACACGATTGTGATGTCGTTCGTGTTCGAGTCCAGGGCTGGGAAAGCCATGTAGGAGAGCTCCTCGAACCCGAATGTAGACCTTTCGCAGTGCCTTCCGTAGCGACCTTCCGGACAACTGCATCTGTACCTGAATAGAATCGTGTTTATTATTATTGAGGAAAGGAAGAACTGTTCTCGTTGCAGGTTGTAGGAGAAATCATTTGAAACGGAGAACGAAGAGTTTAATCTGTTAGCTATGGTGGGACTAGACGTGAAGCTAAACCTCTGTAGTGCAAGGTTTGACTTGATTTGACTTTGATAGAATTTTCCACTGTGCGATTACGTTAGGTTGACTATAATGTGCACAACTATCGATGACAGAAAGAATTGTGTTACCATAGTGGTGTACTGTTCAGAATGATGCTATACAGGAAATCCACTATAGTAGCTAAAAGATGTTATACACGAAATCCACTATAGTAGCTAAGAAATGCTACAAAGGAAATCCACTATAGTAGCTAAAAGATGCTATACACGAAATCCACTATAGCAGTGTACAGTAGCCAAAAGGTTAAAGGGCAAAGGACAGAGAAGAAACTAACCCAGGTTTCTCTCCCACGCACAGGCCACCATAAAGACAAGGATTCGGCCTGCAGGAGTCAGTGACCGCCTCGCAATGGTTGCCCCTATAGCCAGCGCGACACAGACAGAAGAAACTGAAGCTGTCGGGACTCTTCCTGCAGGAGCCACCGTTCCGGCAAGGATTGCTCGCGCAGGCATCGCCTCGTTCCAATTCGCAGAGCTTCCCTTCCCGATCGATCGGGCAGGTGCACTGGAAATCGTATCCCAACCGTCGACACTGTCCACCCTGAAGCCGGGAAACGAGAGATCGTTAACAATATAGAACAAACGATGAATTACTGAAGATCTTAACCGTTTGTACGAAGCGTTGAACGACGTTTAATCTGGAAAGCGATCGCTCACCAATAGACAAGGATTCGGAGAACAAGGGTCCTGCCTCCTCTCGCATCTCTCGCCAGTGAACCCGTCGCGACACTTGCAGGTCATCTCGTGCATCATCCTCGGCGACGTCAGGATTAGCGCCTGACTGTCGATGATCCTAGCGTCGTCGTAGATCACCAACTTGTCGCTGCAGCTGCCGCCGTTCTCGCAGGGGATGTGCTTGCACGGGGAATAGCCGATGGAGAACGTCGTCCCCTCGAGGAGGGATCGTATCTTCTCGCGATTTCGATTCAGCAACTCGGTCACCTCGTATTTGCTGCGGTACCCTGGGAGAGGAAGGATTCTTCAATTTGGTGTAGCTTATAGTTTATAGTCTTTGGCAGAAAATGTTTAGCCTTTGTTTTCAAACGTTTGTATCTTTCCCATAAACTGGGGGATGACATTAAGCTTCAGGATTATATATTGTACAAGTATAAGGAAAGAATTGACACGTTGAATGCACGATTTTATGAAGCATAATACACAAAATATGATACAATCAATCATTTGATTGAATTGCATTGTTACTATTGCACTAGCTGAGTGTCACGAAATTAGCTAACGTTATTTATAATATAGAAATGTTTCCAAATAATCGTCGTTTCATTGAGTGAATTATAGTATTATAATTCAATTTGGTTGGGGTCACCGGTGACTCCCATAGCATTCAACGTGTTAAAGAAAAAAGCCACTGGTCTTTGGTACAGATTTCACTGAATACCACAATTACAATTAGGAGCTTGTCTGCGCAATGAAGTGGAGGATTGTCAAGTTGGAAGGTGGCTAAATAAAGTTACCTTGTGGAGACTCCACTGCGATGTGAATGTTCAAGTCGGATCCGTTCTCTCCGAGGCTGAATATTTTCAGAGTGTCGCCCACGTCCACCTCGCCCTGCAGCACATCCACTAGGGCACGGTAGTTCTGACTCAAAAAGTCCCTCGCACTCAGCTTAGAGACCTGCAGGGTGACGCTGTTCTCGATCGTGGTGTTCGTGAAGACGAGGAACTCCACTGTGACCATGGATATCACGTTCGGATGGCGACCGTCGTTCCCGGAAACGCTCAGCGAGTGACCAACCCCTGAAATAGAATATTCAAAAATTAGTATCATACTGAATCTTATAGAAGAACGAAGTTTCACAATTAAAGGTAACGTCGACACAACTAAGTAAAACATGTGACATCTCACCTGGAGTAATTTTCTTCGTGTGCAGGTCGCAAGCAGTCGGAATGCTGAGGATCCTAGGATTGGACCCTTGCAGTATCTTGCAGGAGTAAGATCCGGTGACGTCCGGATCATTCGGATGTACATCTGCGATCTTCCCTAACGGCATCTGCTCGTTAAAGGAGTGAACGATCACGTGGACCGACCTGGACGACGATGGACTGTCGTTCTGATCCGAGACGATCACGGTTATCGTATGCTCGCTCCTCATTCTCGGGATGCCCGAGTCCTCCACTTCAACCTGGAATACAAAGGTCAAAATTCCAAATCATTTACTGTCCATTTTACTGAAACGTTCGCTATAGGACACTGAACAGTTCCAGGTAGATTCCTACTAAACTAAAATACATTAGAATGTAAAACAGTAAAATCGTACTCTACAGATCACTCTCAACAGATCCCAGAAGCAACCACTCACCACAAGATCCAGCTGCGGCATGACTTCCCTATCCAAGCTCCTGTTAGTCTTCAGCACGCCAGTGTGCTTATCCAAGGTGACCATATCGCTCTGCCTACCGCCGACGAGTCTATACGTGAACGGTGCGCCGTTCGGCGGCAGGTCGGGATCGGTAGCGCTGAGCGTCATCACGATCGTGCCAGCCGGCTCGTTCTCGTTCACGTACCCGACCACTTCCGGCGGGTCGAAGACCGGCCCGTTGTCGTTTATGTCGAGCAGCTCTATGTGAATGAGAGCGGTGCCGGTTTGCGGCGGCGATCCCGTATCAATGGCGCCGACGGTCAGATCATACGCCGGGATGGTTTCGCGGTCCAACTGCTTCGCCGTCTCGATGTCGCCGGTCTGGGGGTCGACCTTGAACGCCTGGCCGATGTTGCCGCCGATGATGGAGTAGGAGAACTGATTGTTTTGCGGCCGAATGTCCTTGTCCACGGCTCGGACCGTCAGCACCCTGGTCCCGTGAGCCGCGCCCTCGGAGACGGTGGCGTCGTACGCGGTCTGCAGGAACTCCGGAGGATCGTTGCCGTCCTGGATCGAGACGATCACCTGCGCCTCGTCCGTGTCGTTGCCGCGGATGCCGCCGCCGTTCTTCGTCATCACCGTCAGCACCACCCGGTTCTGCGTCTCCCGGTCCAGCCGCCTCGACACGCGGATGATCCCGGTCTCGGATCCGATCGAGAAGCCGCGGTCGTTCGACGAGCCCACGAACAGATAGTAGACTCTGCCGTCCTCGCCGGCGTCCTGGTCGGTGGCCTGCACCAGGCCCACCGACGTGCCCACCTCCGCGCTCTCCGACACGTCCATGTGGAACACCGGCTGAATGAACTTCGGGTAATACTCGTTCACGCCCGTCACGTGCACGGCGACGGTGGTGAAGCCGACCATCTGCGGATTCGAGTCCGGGTTCGCGGCGACGATGTCCAGCGTGTACTCGTTCGCCTCCTCGTAGTCGAAGCTGATCAGCGACAGGATCTCGCCGGTGTCCTCGCGGATGCGGAAGTGATCCTTCCCGGTGCCGCCTAGGATCTTGTATTGTACTACCGCGTACTTCGGCGAGTCGATGTCCTTGGCTACCACCTGGAATTCAGACGTTGGATGGTGAAGTAGTTTTATATTCGTTCTTGTGTTTTATGTCTTGTTATGTTAGTCTTTGTTATTGGTGTTCGTTATATTCTTCTGTTTTATATTTATTATTGTATTTTGCATTTTTTATGGGCTAACGCTGGGACTACTCTGATAGTGACAATGACTGGTTTTGATTGTTTCGCGGTTATTGCTATGTTGAAAGCATTGAATAGTCGAAAGGATCTTGAAAATAGAATAATCTATTGTTGCAATTCCTATAGTGAGTACATGTGACCAAATCGAATTACTATAGTTCATACAATTAAACGATAATTACTTGAAAACATTTCTATATTATAAATAATGCTGAATTGAATAGTCGAAATGATCTTGAAAATAGAATAATCTATTGTTACAATTCCTATAATGAGTACATGTCACCAAATCAAAATACTATAGTTCATACAATTCAACGATGATTATTTGGAAACATTTATATATTATAAATAATACTACCTGACGCGTTGACGTTCAGCCAGATGAACGTGTAATAACCACAACCCAATTCAATCAAACCATCAAATACTATATTTTCTCCATTCTGTACTTTGCTCTATAAAATCCCGCGGCCTCAATGTCTCAATCGTATCAAATGCTCAGTACTCCCAGCGTGAAACAAGCATACAAAAAACAACAGGCAAAAACAATCGCATTCTCTTCACCACATTCCTTTACCTTGTAGACAAAGCTATTGGGCGGCGAGTTCTCAGGCAGGAACGCTTCGTACACGCTCTGATTGAACGTCGGCGGGTTGTCGTTGATGTCGGACACGTTCACTGTCAAAGTAGCAACAGCTACTTTCGGCTCGAATCCCAGATCCGTGGCGGTGATGTTCAGCTTGTACTCCTGCACGAGGTCGTAGTCCAGAGGCTCCAGTACGGTGATCGCGCCGGTGATGGAGTGAACGAAGAACTCGTTCCTCTCGTTGCCCGCGGATATCTTGTACCTGATCATGCCGTTGGGCCCGTCGTCACCGTCGGTGGCGCTCACGGTGAGTATGGTGGTGTTCACAGGCTCGTTCTCCGGCACCCTGACCTGGTACCTGGCCGCGGCGAACGTCGGCGCGTGTTTGTTCTCGCCGGAGATGACCAGCGTCAGCGAGACCTCGTCCTTCTGCGGCGGCACGCCTTTGTCGAACGCGCGAGCCCTCAGCGAGAAGCTGGTCCCGACGGGTACACTGGCCAAGCTGTTGCGCACGTAGACCCAGCCGGACGTCTCGTCGATGGAGAAGAACTCGGTGCCGTTCACGTTCACCAGGGAGTAGCTGATCTCCGCGTTCACGCCGTAGTCGGCGTCGTCTCGCGCCAACAGCTGGATCACCCGCTTGCCGATCCCGTAGTTCTCCGGCACGGGGTACAGGTAGGACCTCTGCTCGAACCTGGGCGCGTTGTTGTTGGCGTCCACGACGCTCACGTGGACCACCGTCCTCGAGGACATCGGCGGCTTACCGTTGTCCGTCGCCACCACCGTCAGCGAGTACAGGTTCTCCGGGGAGGACGGCCGATGGGTGTGCTTGTAGCGCAACGTCTTCTTGCTGAACACGTCGCCGGTCGCCGGGTCCACCGTGAACAGGTCGGACGGCTGCAGCAGGCTGTACGAGATCACCGAGTTAGGGCCCTGCTTGTCGCGGTCGATCGCCGTCACCTGGCCGACGTGCGCGACGGCCGGCTGGAGCTCCGGGAAGTGGAAGTGATAAGAATCCGAGTCGAACTCCGGCGCGTTGTCGTTCTGGTCCTGGATCGTTATGGAGAGCGCTGTCGCGCTTAGCCAGGCGCCGTCCGCTGCTACCAGCTGCAACATTTCAATCGTATGCTCTGTCGTGTGTCTGTGATGGAAGTTAACCCTACGTGGGCCTATGTAACTTTGAAGTCACGTATCAGTATATTGGCGTCTCGTTGATTTACTTCATTTTGCACTCGAAGTGGTGAATAAAATGAAGTAATCGGTTAACTGAAACTAATATACGCTCAGGCGTGGAAGCTTAACGTCAATGTAACTCGAAAGCTACGAAATATATTCGTTCGATGGAATTATGGAAACACGTTAAGCGCCATGTCAGTCACTGGTGACTGACGCCTCCGAATGACTAGAAAACAATCGTAACATACAAGACAACCTATGTTGAATGAAGATGTTCAATAACCTGACAAAGTTGATAATAGTGCACTGCAAGGATTCTAACGTCAAATAATTAATAATTGTTCCTGCTTTTCTTTGCTACAACAGAAAAACTCCAAAAGAAAACGCTTAAGATTTTCGTGGCGTTTAACGTGTTAATTCGTATTCATATGTGGATATTTATTAATTTTGCATAGATTTTGTTATAATCGTGAACAAAAATTCGATAGAGGGTTAACTGACGAAATTGTTTCTAGATGCTGCTAAGTATCTCTGTAGACAACGGAGTCAGAGGCTTACAGCGTCATAGTGACAGAGTGGAAAGGGTGAGTCTACAAGTGAAATTATTCAAATTCGGAGTAAAGGAGAGACTACTGATGAACCTACCTTCAACAGGTACTCGTCCTGCTCCTCTCTGTCCAAGTGTCCGTCCACAGTGACGTTGCCGCTGAGAGCGTCCATGGAGAACTTCATGCCGGGATTGTCGGTGAACGTGTAAGTCACGTTGGCGTTCTGACCGATGTCCGGATCGCTGCTGGTTATTCTGATGACGAACGTGCCGATCTCCGCGTTCTCCGTCACGTTCACGCTGAACAGTCTCGTGAAATGCGGCGGATTATCGTTCTTATCCAACACGGTGACCAACACCGTGGCAGTGCCTGTCAGAGACGGTTGTCCTTGGTTCCTGGCCTCCACCACCAGCTCGTACGAGGCGATCTGAAGAATAATCGACGTTAATACCGGACGTACGACTCGCCGTCACTCTTCGAACAGCACGTCGAACTCGCTCCGCTCACCTCCTCGCGATCCAGTTTCGCGTTCGTGCTGATCTCGCCGCTGTCGGAGTCGATAACGAAACTCTCCGAGAAATCGTTGACCAGATAATAAGACACCTGTCCGTTCTCGCCGGTATCGCGATCCTTCGCGGACACCTTGCAGACGAACAACGGCGGATACTCGTCCTCGGGCACCGACGCATTGTAGATGGACGCCTCCATTATCGGCGCGTTGTCGTTCGCGTCCGTCACGTTCACCAGCAACTGGACCACGCTCCTCAGGGCTGGCGTGTCCGAGTCCCTGACCTCTATCCAGGCTTCGTAGTACGGGGCTGTCTCGTAGTCGAATCCCGACGCGACCAATACCTAACGCAGACGAAAGAGATTAGTATGCTGCAGGAATGTGACCTTGAGAAGTTTGCTTTGGGAACATCCTCGAGGAAACAGTTGCTAATGTATACGATTTAGCTGGAAACTACGAAGTGGATTCATCGTTGAAATGAGGATCTTTATGTATCTATGAGAAATTTCGAATGTAAAATTGCGCAGATTGTGATGTGAAGGAGCATATGAACTATCCAAAGCATAGTGCTGTCTGTAACGTTTCTTTAAGGGAAACCATTTGTTATCGTCATTCTATTTCTGCAGGTATGTTCTTGACAGTTTTCATTTGTGTATAGTTTTATTCAGTTTTGTATGTAGTTCCATATAATTTTATGTAGCTTTATATAGCTATATATAGCTGTATACAGCTCTATATAGCTTTATACAGTTTTATATAGCTTTATATAGCTTTATATAGCTTTATATGGCTTTATATAGCTTTATATAGCTTTATATAGCTTTATATAGCTTTATATAGCTTTATGTAATTTTATATAACTTTATATAACTTTATATAACTTTATATAGCTTTATATAGCTTTATATAGTTTCATACAGTTTCACATATTCTTTTCTACACACTTTCATACAGTTTACTTAATCGAATCCCAAAACCGCAAAACAGGATACACACCAGAACGAGAAACCTACCTCTCCAGTGTGAGGATCGATCTTGAGCGCATCCCCCACGTTGCCCCCAGCGATGCCGTAGACCAAATTGCTCGCGGCGCCGACTTTCGGCGTGGTAGCCGAGAGTTTCGTGATCATCCGTCCTGCGGGTACGTCTTCGGGCAGCGTAAACCTTGTGTTCATAGTGGACCGGAAGCTGGGAAACAGCTGTTTCTCCCAAAGGTGTATCATTAAGTCCGCGGTGACGGTCTGCGGTGTGGCCCCACAGTCGGACGCCAGGATCTGCAGCTCGTACGTGGTCCCGTCGTTCGCCAATTCCCGCGTGGCCCTTATCACTCCGCTGTTCGCGTCGATCGCGAACTTCTCCGCGTCTATACCTTGAAGACGGTACACGATCCGCGAGTTCTCGCCGTCGTCGATGTCCACCGCCTTCGCGCCGAACACGAAATCACCTTTAACAGAAAGGACACACTCTGACGTCCCATTGCATCCTTGTCTTCCGTGCGCGACTTCCGAACTCTTATCTTTATATTTTTATTCTACATCCTTTCTCCGAAGAGGAAACGAGATTTAGTGACCGATTGCTTCTAAGCTACTTCTTGGGAAGAATCACGCGATATTGTAAGTTTCTATTGTATCTATTAACTGTTTATCTTCGAGCCCCATTTAAAATTCAAAATTCACTGACACGTGACTCTTTTTCTTTTAGTGCTCAGACTTCGATTCATTATTCAATTCTTTATGGAAGGAATGTTGTATCATTATTCAGTTACTCATGTATCTCACTAGAAAATATTAAGTATTTCCAGTGAGAAACTTCTGGAGTGCAAAATGAAACAAGTAATCAGTTCTAATATAATTGAATATTTTTTTAAACGTTGTGGTGGTTAGCAAAGTTGCAAAGGTAGGTTTAACCCTTTGAACTCTGTAGGCTCCAATATTGCACCAGTTATAATATTGAATATTTCAATGAATCTTAAAGAAACTACCCTGAAATTATTCGAGGAACCTATAGCTTACCTGGTTTTGTCGCGCCCGGCACGTACGCGGTGTACCTCGGGCTGGAGAACCTAGGAGCGTTGTCGTTCACGTCCGCTACGTAGATGGTCAAGTTGACGACGGAGGCTTGTGGCTCGGTAGGGCTGGAATCCTGGGCGACCAGCGTCAAATGATAAACGGAGGTTTGCTCTCGATCCAGCGGGAGCACCGTGAACACCTCGCCGGTGTCAGGATCCGCGGTGAAGCGCTCCGAGTTCTCTCCTAGCAGACTGTACCTGTGTGCGATATTCGTGTGTCAGGTTTACAAGTTGTTCGTCTCGTTGACCCTTTCTTAACACTAGAACTACCAGACAGAGTTTCTGGTTTCTGCTTTTTGCGATTGAAAATGAGTCGCTGAGAAGCCAATGCAATTGACACTGTTTCTATTCTCAAATTTTCACTTAACATTATTTTCCAAGTTTAATATAGTCCAGAATTCAATTGAGGAAAGATGATTAAATTGAGATCATTTTAAGTGAAAACTTCAAGAGGTATCCGACACCTGAAATGTTCATTTAACATTATTTTCCAAGTTTAATATAGTCCAGAATTCAATTGAGGAAAGATGATTAAACTGAGATCATTTTGAGTGAAAACTTCAAGAGGTATCCGACTTCGGTAGAAATAGTGGTAAGTTCGGGAACCAAACATTGAGAAAATTAATGTTTTGTCTTCTGAAACGATTATTCAACATATTCAGGAGCTATGAAAAGCAGCGCTCTTTGACCTAGAAGACACGAGTAAATCCTTTAACGCGTTTCATGCCATCGGAAGTTTCGGTTATATATTTTGCTGGTAAATTGCAGCGATGTTTCCAATGAAATATTAAGTTACATTCAAGTTTTTAGTGACTTGTATATATATCATAATAACTGGAAAGAATACCGTTTATTCCATCAGAATTGAGAAAACTGAGAAACCACGAAGAAATCGATTGAACCGCATTGACCTCTAACTGAAATATCATTACAGGATAACGCGTAGCAGCCTGTGTACGAATGAAATCTCACCTGATCTTCGCGTTCAGGCCCTCGTCCTTGTCCGTGGCGTGCGGTTTGGTGACCCAGGTCCCGGAAGCTGAATTCTCGGTGACCGTCGCCTTGTACTCCTGCCTGGTGAACTCCGGGCTGTGATCATTCACGTCGAGCACGACGATCCGAACGATGCCTGATCCGGTCAGCGGCGGAGAACCTGCGGAACAGGTTCGCTAATCGTAGATCGATCGTTCTATGATCGTACAAACGTACGAACGCGTGATCGCCGCGCGGAAACAATGGGAACCCTTGACACCCGGCGATAATTTACATTCGGCAAGCCATTATCTCCATCTATATTTATACAGACTACCCGCACGGAAAGTATTCGATCACTCGCGGCCCGAGTTGCCCACCGGGGAGAACGATACAAAAGGGTTCATCGATCAACGGACGCGTGATCAAATACTTTCAACCGCTGACGTATGAAAACCCGATTTCCGATTCACCGAGGAGGATCGAATTCACCTTGCTTCGAAATTATCTGTGTCCCTTCGCTGTCAAGCGTCTCGTAGATACAATATTTTTCATCCATTCTGTTGCAACAGCATGGTGATATTATAGACGTTTCGATCAGTCATATTTAATTTCGTAGCGCAGAGGGTTGAGTCTACGTGAAAAGCTACTTCGCGATCAGCGTGTTAACTTAGCAAAATCTATCTTATCTATTCTTATCTAAAATCGAAATCTATTATCTAAAGAAACGGACAAACTGACGAATCATAAAACAATCATAAAACCTTATTGTGTTTAGAGGTTTCCTTCTGATGCTTCCCTAGGGTTCAATGCTCCACTTCTAATCGATGAACTATACCGATGATCCCTAATATAGTGTAACTTGCGCCATTCTATACTGATCTCTCTTAGAATATAACTACACAACTCTGTGAACATCATCCGTAGCATTAACCCCTTGCCATACAATGATGAGTGAGACTCGTAATGAAGGTTTCTAAATTAACTAAACAAAAATCAGTGTCGTTCATTGCTACTGATCACAAACTATTCTATTATCAATGTATAATCTTCATTTCCACTCAAACTAGTATAGACAATTTTGTTAGTTTCCTTCGAAATTGTCAATTGTAAAGCCGGCGTTTGGGCTAAGTAGCCGATACGTTGCCGGCGCTCAGGCTTCAACCCTTAGCACTCTAGATGGTTTTGTAATCTATCAGCAACTGCAACTAATTTCCATAGTATCTCTAGTGAAAATGAAAAATGCTATAACAGTCCTTCGATCTTTTATTTTCCTTCTGAGTACAAAATTTGGATGTGTGGAAAATCGAATAATTTCAGGGTAGTTTCTTTGATTCATTAAAATATTCAATATTACAACTGGTGCAATTTTCGAGCCTACAGAGTTCAAAGGGTTAATGTCTCTTAAGTCGCCGGCGCTCAATGTGTTAACCCTTCGCCCTCCAGAAGTTTTTCATTAGAAATACTCAATACTTTTTAATCAAACACCAGCGACATTCTTTCAAACTGACATAACGAGAAATCGCGCATAAATTAAAGAAAGAGGCTGTTTCATTAGAATATTTCACACGTCGATGCATTGTGCAAAGATTTAACATCAAACATCAAACTCTATAATTTCCCTGTGTCAAATCAATCGACCGAGAGGCGCCTCTGGAGTGCAAAGGGTTAAGTTTATCCTCCAACTTTCGTAAATATCATTTCTCACGACGAGCCTTACCATTACAGAAAGAAAAAAAGGGAAAGGGGATCAGTTCGACGCGCGAAAGAGTAGCAGCGAGAGGACCGGTGCGCCGAACACGTTCCCCCGGCCGATACCAATAAAAGAAACGTAGCGCGGCCGAAGGGGTGAAGAAGAGGGGTTGCACGGAGAAGAAGGAGGAGGAGGAGGAGGAGGAGTCGTTGCCCGTTGTCCCCGTTGATTAAGCAGACGAGAATAAGGCTGAATACTCCCGGTGTATTTGTCGGGGATTGCCCACCGGGGAACGCGCGCCGCCTATGGCGGACGGTCTCATTGTGCGGGGAGCGCGCGATTGTTGCGCGGCCGTGCCCTCCCCGCGAGAGGTCCGCGTGATTGAACGATATACGCTTATAGGAGGCGCGTGGCCCTGGGCCACGGGGAACGCGGGTACAATGTACCTGCTGCAATCAGAGAAATCGGGTCCCGCCGGAGAATAATGGCCTGTTTTAGGCGGCGCAATTAACTCGATGGTACCGGGGGCCGGCTGATACTTCGTGAAATCGTTAATTTGTCTTCTTTAAGACGGTCAGAGGGCCCGATCGGATCGGCCGGGGCCCACGACGACGCCGGGGCCCACCGACCGGGACCGGCCGATCTTTCCATCGGACCCGTTCCTCTCTCCACGGGTCCGCTCTCGCGGCACGACAGCGAAAGTACTCGCGAGAAACCGCGCGACAAGCGGATCCGCGGCCCGTTAACTATTCGAGGCGCACGATTTTCAATCCTCGGCTACCGTTGCCGCCTACGGCCGTTTCAAACCTTTGCTTCTCGCGTGCTTGGATTTCATGTAAGCGTCATTTGACAGTTGCAGCTTTTAGTCGTGCGTTGTTTATGTTGGATTGGTTTCGTTAGCTCGATTCAGTGTTCTGATGGGTTTATATTTTTTAGGAATGCTGAGGTGAGTTTCTGGGAAAGGGTTGAAGAACACAAGAGAATTCACTTGAGAACCGTGTCTCGTATGTTTCATTAACATCGTTGAAGTGTTCCCTTGTTAGCTTTGTCAGGTGTGTATACGCTCTTTCTATTCACATTTTAAAATCTGTACTTTATATTTATGTTTTATGTATGCTTCTTTCCACGAAAGGTCCAGTAATTCGTCGAGGTAATAGGGATGGGTGGTGCACGCTTGTACCCTGTAATTGTCGGATCGGAGCTGAACAAGTTCGAACACTGTCGAGCGACACGTTTAGACGAAGGTGCCTCGAATTCCGGCTGCGCGCTTAAAACCGTCGATTCTGGCGAACGAAAATGTTCCGGGTGCTAAAGTGTCAAGGAGGGACAATGGTCGTCGAGGACCGGGACGGTGGAATTGTCCTTGGAAAAATGGCTGCGAGCGGAGTCCGGCGAGTCCCAATTCGAAGATCTCGCAGCAAATCCCCATACGCCTCGCCGAAAAGGGCCCGGCGACGCCAGGGGACCGGCATCCGCGCTCCCATCGCGACAAAAGCCAGGGCTTTTAGTTAGCGCCCGGTAGGGACACGGGTTTTCGGATGGCGGACACGCGATAGCCGGAGCGCACATACGCGACAGCCATTACGTATGAATAAAATAGGAATATAATGCGCGGGCGAGCGAGCCGAGGCGAGGCGAGCGACCGGAGACCAAGGGAGACCCTGCAAGCGCGCAATCTCTCCTCTCTCTCTCTCTCTCTCTCCCTCTCTCTTCGCTCTTTGAGGACTATGGCGACTCCAAAACGTCCAAGAAGCGAAAGCTGGCTGTGAACGAGCAGTTGGTAG